ATGTGTTATAGATAATGGTACGGGACCCTTTGTGGGCAAGGCCGACTCTCACTTGAGATGTTTTTAAAACTGCTTTACTATGCTTAATGTCTATACATTATTAGTAATGATGTAAATACTAATGAAATTAGGTATCCACATTTAAATTTCAGGGTAAAGTCTCTGGATATAATAAAAGTCATACTAGAATTTGGTTATCATTTCTAGATTAGAAAATAATTGTCAACATATATTTTTTCTTACATAATCTTAGAAAAAATCGATCAGAACTCAACAAGTGAATTTGTGAAGATGTATTGCTTATTTGTTCGGTATAATGTTACATATGATTGTTGTGCTGTCCGTACACAAGCTATTAGGTCTTACAGTAAGACGGTTGGCTGAATGCCATACCGTTTCTAGAGGTGGCCCAGTTTACCCTGACCTCGTTCTACCTTCAAAATACTTTGGACCAAGTCTCAGACAAACTAGACGTCTTGTCCCACCAAATATATCCAGATGTGACTTCGAAAGTCCGTAAACCTACACTCATTGCTATTTTCTATCGTGTTAGATTTAGAGTCCTATTTCGTGTGGCAAATCAGACAAATCGAAATGAGCTGCCAAACATTGCCCCGTATTTGCTTTTTGATTTTTATTTTGAAATTCGATTTTGCACGGGAATTGCAAAGAATTGGAGAATAAATTATATACGGGTTTCACAATTTTCACTTCAGATTGAATTTGATATCGTTTTATGTCTACCTATAATAAATGTTAATTCATACCACGTGGTGTGGTGGGTTAAACGATACCTGGTGGGATCGCAGGTAGCTTGAAAATTGCATTAGGAATACTAATACGCTGCTAACAACTTGATAATATCAATAAAATAACAATATTATTCAAAGTGGCGTAAGAAGCTCCATGTAACTAAATTCTTAGCCATTCGTTAAAGAAAGTCATCAAAATCGAATTAGGTATGAATTTCTGAATAGAAAGTTTTCCAACAATAATCATGATTTAACACCAAAGAAGCAACGTCACTGGACCCCAATTTGCCCAAACTTTGATAAAGTCAATCGCAAAAAATTACATTATCTACGTATAAGAGGTTAAGTAGGACGTATCGAAAACCTCTCACACGACCGAATAACGATTCTTTTCAGATCGTAACAGTATCACATCCGCGCTTAAAGATATATATATAATTCCAGCAACAATACGGCTTGATTCAACACGAAAACTCGGGCCTTATTCACAATGTCAACCCACAATAGCACTCGAGGAGACCCGAGAAAATATCACAGGCTCTGTTTATTTATAAGTGTACGGTCATTGTGACCGATAAAACGTCTTTTTGACCGATTCTGAACCGACCCTCGAAGGCGCCGCTCCCAGCACGTTTTTTTACCCATTTCAACCTCCCTGGTCGGAAAGACCCGCTATTTGTCGACTACTCGCAAAAGGGTGCAAACATCTGAAGGAAAGAATCCGAAGATTAAAGATGTATAATGAATTGTGGATATGGTATGGTTGTGAATATCTTTCAAGCTGCACTAATAGATAAATAGGATAGGAAACAATGTAAAGATAGAAAGAAAGAAATTTTGTTAGCCTTAAACATAGTAATATTAACATAAATAAAACAAGCCAAGATAAGCCAACTAGGTCTCTGCCACAGCTTAATACTACAGCAGTCAGCAACACCAGGGCTGCTGCAGCGCTGATGATGCTGACAGGGACTAAAGTTGATGACACAGATGTACGATCGAACCAATTGATTCCTGACCCACATGCCCGATAACACGCTGACAAACGTCACAAAAGACAAGTTTTCCTTTGTAGAGAATGCGTTATTCGACTTCATTATCATCATCATCATCAGCCTATTAATGTCCCCACTGCTGGGGCACAGGCCTTCCCTATGGATGGACAGGGAGTTTTTTGAGTCATGACCCACCACGCGGGCTCAGTGTAGATTGGTGGGTGCTATCGACTGCAGATGCATCCGGAACCAACGGCTGAACGTGCCTTCCGAAGCACGGAGGAACTCGAGATAGTAAATTTTGGACACACATCCAATGACCGACCACTGCGAAAGTTGCTGAACTTCAACGATCGCAGCCGAACGCGCTAACCACTTGCGCCATCGAGCTCCTCGATTAGGCCCTCAATTCACATGACATTATTAAATTTATAAGTAAAACTTTACTATCGAATACCGCACATAGAACACAAACAAAACAATCGACCAAAGACCTGCAGAATTAGTAAACTTGAACTTCATAGATTACAATTAGAATCCAAAGCATTTTTTGCTTTCTCATTAGATGAGCCCTTTCAAGAAAGTATGAGTATATAAATTAACTTTATTGCTGCTCAAGATTAATTATGAAACTCTTAAATATATCCTTCATGTAAAAGTGATCTGTGAACTAAGTTATTGTTGTTTTGAATACCCAAATCCACCGTTTCGTACATTGATGGTGATGGAGCAACACAGCGTGGCGAACAATCAAGCCAGCCACATGTGGGTTCAAATACAGGTTTTAAACAGAAATATTTCCGCATCCATGGGCCTTTTGTTCGACTCCTCGGGTTCGGAAGAGAAAACGTTTTATAAATAGATGAAAACCATGCACGTATGCCCGGTGGCGTTGAATTTAAGCAACTTTCGCAGTGATCGATCATTGGATGGGTGTCCAAAAATCTTCTATCTCGTGTTCCTCCGTGCTTCGGAAGGCACGTTAAGCCGTTAGTGCATTTGCAGTCGTTAGCACCCGCCAATCCGCAATGGGCCCACGTGGTGAAGGCCTGTGTCCCAGCAGTGGGGACATTAATAGGCCGATGGTGATGAGGCAAGTACGAATGTATTAAACGCTTCTTAGAATCAGCAAAGCGATCTAAGAGAACTATTAAAATGATGCTTTCACTCTTAAATCATAACACGAAATGTCAACGTTAATAATGATCCTTATTCAATTTTACATCAATGATCCAAAATTGTATCTAAGTAAACGTAGAAAAACTTTAAACCCAAAAAATCTTTTCAAAATTTATAACATCACCCCAAACTTTCAAATCGATGTTATGGTTCACTAAATCGTTTTAAACTTCGATAGAATCTACGAGTCTTTAATTTTCAATAATCGTTTCTGATTTGAACAATATTAAAACTACAGTTTCGGAAGCGAACTTAAAATCTAAAAACCTTCTTAGCTAGTTGGACATCGGCCAATTGATAGTGGTACATTCTTTAGCTATGCCCTCTCACAGATCGCCTGGTTAAAGTGTGCAAAGAGTTCTGGACTTCGCTCTTTTTGTTTGTTACTCTTACCTCTAGAAGAATTTCCAATCTGATTTTCGTTTGTATGGTAATGAAGGTAAAGGTGCATGTTTTAAGAAGGCTCATTAACAATTTAGTTACAGTTACGGAAATACTTATTCACTTGCACAAATTTAGTCATGCGGAATTTGAAAAGAATTCTCAATACAATTATACAAAAATATATAAAGGAAGTTTGTAACTTAAAATTGACGTAAAAACGACAGGGTTTAGATTAAAACCATTTTGAAATATACAAAATCATGGAATATTTAAAAGGTCCTCTGTTGACCAGTAAGAGATTTTGCTAGAAAGCCGAATAACCTCATGATACAAAAATTAAAAGTCACTATTGAACGCAATCACAACACGAACGAATGGACACTCAGTAAAAAAACAACGTTTGCAATAAAACTATCTGTGCCCATCATAAATATCCTTGGGAAATGAATGTTTTTTCCGACCGCGAAGTGGACTTAATGAGATATTCTTACTTTGAAACGATATTTTCCGTTTTGAAGTGCGGAATTCTTACCATCTCATGAATTAAGAATAAGCAAATAATCTGGAAATGAAATGATGGAAGGTGATCCGGTATTCCATTTTAATATACCTCGAATTTATGGCGCAGTCGATAAGAACGAAAACAAATTTCATAATAATAATATGTTCAGGTGATAAGGAAACGAAAATTGATGAACATTCAATATATTTCGCAATAACGGTAACAAAATAGCATTACGTTTCGCACAAATATTTCATTTAAAAGTAGAAATACATTGAATGATATTTTATGTATCGAGTGCATTATTTATGTACTGGAAGTACAGTCGATTTTTTTATTATTATTAATATTTCTAACACTTTCAGCAATTAGTACTATAGGACTTGTTTATAGGATACTACTAGGGTAGGGGTAATGATATGTAGATAAGTATATTTTTAAGTTTATATATGACTGAGGTACGAATGCTCATCAACAGCCTATCTTAGTCCACTGCTGGACATAGGCCTCTCCAATTGCACGCCACTGAGATCGATCTTAGGCTACTATGGCTACAAATGCTCGTATTCATTATACAAACGTGTACAAGTCCTTTGAGTAGGCGAAACCTGGAAAAATGATATACATACCACTCACAGAAGTCTTCAAGAAAGAGCCAGGTACTGAATTACCCAAGAAGAAAAGTTCCATTAACAAAAACCTATGGACTAGCAACCTGTTACTATTGTTTCCAACCGTACAATAATTTAGATCAAACAAAAGAAAATATGGCATCATTAAGATGTGACTCTGGAAGTGACATTCCTTGTCCTGGTTATTTATTATCTCATGGCACCATTGTAGTCTGACACCCAATTAAAGGGTGAATGAAGCTTTGTATATACATACATATTTATATTATTTAGCACGCAGAACGTTATCACAAATCCTACACTAATTGCAGGTACAGTTTTAAAACAAACAAGATGCTTATCTATGCGAATGGGGAATAAAAACTGAACAAGAACTCATGCAATTATAAAGGCGTCCGATTCGCAACGGATAGATTGGTTTTACTGCCAATTTCCACGCAGTTTTATGTCGACGAGACGAATCAGTGATACCGAACCGCATTCGAGAGCGGACGACTATGCGAAGATATTGTAAGCTCACGTACTGTCTGAAGCAAAAACTAAAGGGTAGAAGAAAATGCTGATTCTGCTCTTCGTGATAGTTGCTTCAGCGAAAACTGAGAAAAATGTAGGAGAGAGAGCGTTTAACGCTTGCAGAGCATACGGGCAAAGCATGCTGGAATGTCACAACGTTTTATACCCGTTCACAAAAGTGAGAGTGCCCATAGACTTCCTTCTGTATCCCCACATGGTACTGATAGGATTTCGTATAGATGATCAAGATAATCCGGCTTGGAAATGTGGCGGAACTCTGATAAGCGAGATGTGGGTTTTGACAGCTGCCCATTGCAAAGAGGACCCGATCAATGGACCCGCGAGCGTACTGAGAGTCGGCACAGCCACTTTCGAGTTCGACGAGGTAGATGAGTTGGCGCAGGAGAGGAATGTTGCCCAAATCGTTGTCCATCCAGGTTACAGGCTACCTTCTAAATACAACGACATCGCTTTGATGAGAGCCGAACCCACATTCATTCTCAGTCGGGATATAAGGATCGCGTGCTTGGAAACACAGGACCAAACGAAGTACACGAATTTGACAGCCATCGGTTTCGGTGTTACCGCGGCGGGTTCTTTGCGAGGGAGTCAGACTTTGATGAAAGTTGATGTGGACATTATAGAAAATACGGTGTGTAATAATACGATGAAGTCCATGATCAGAAGGAAAATTTTAGCCCGGGGAATCGTTGATGACCAATTGTGTGCTGGAGATTTGGAGCACGGTGGCAGGGACACTTGCCAAGGAGACTCCGGAGGACCTTTGCAGTATATGACTGAGAGAGTCGACTGTGTGAATACTTTCCCTTTACATACAGTAGTAGGCGTCACCTCTTTCGGCAGAGATTGCGGTAGGAGGATGGCTCCAGGCGTGTATACCCGAGTTTCGAAGTACATTGACTGGATCGAAAATATTGTTTGGCCGTAGTGCTCTGTGTTTTTATTATCGAAATTGATGAGTAATGTTTTAACCAGGGCTTTGCAAGATGTCTTTTGCATATAATTGAAGACTGATTATTTATTTCAACAGTAAACCCAGTTCAGGGAACTGTACTAAGATATGGAGTTTGACGTAGATCATGATTCAATCAAGTCACGCGAGAATTACTGATGTTGCACCGTAAACCCATAACGAATACGAATCAATCGATTTATGAAAACCTTTTTTGATATTGAGTACTCTACCGAACTTATGTACTCCCATGTTCATATATGTTTATATATCTCCCATAGTAAGTTCGCAGATCTCAGTGATGTAGCAAAAAATTGATTATATTCTAAGCGCTTACCTTTCAACTAGAGCCATTTTCCTCACATAAAGAAAAATATTCCTGTCTTCTCGTTGGTCGTGAACATGTTCGCTCAATTCCAGTAAAAGGATAACAGGACTCACCTGAAACAAAAAGTTTTCATAAAATACTGTGCGTCATTTCCAGCCACAAGGGATTGGGGACGGCGGGGAAAAACTTCATGTAAATGTTACGTTCGGGATGATGGTCGCTGTTACATTGTGTGTTTTATGGATTAGCGATACAGTTTATGGAACGCTGGTTTTTTGTTTATGCGAATGTGTTAGATAAAGTTGTGATTGTGACAGAGGACCAGCGGTATGAGTGACGTTATTATAAGTGTCTTTTGGCGGAAATATACGTTTAGAATATCTTGTATGTGTTTTTACTAGTAAAGACATTACGGACTAGCTGTCTTTGCTGATCTGTATCGTATTCCCCAAGCAGTGAAGTTCTGACCACCTTACCTACTAAAATATGCATTTGGCTCTTATAAACAATGTGCAAAAATTACTCTACCCGACTTGGTATTAAATGTAAATGGAATTCTGGTGCGAAGAGAGCGGACGCGGCAGAAAACTGTAGTTACCTTACCTTGCCGAACTGAGTCCAAAATTGAGGAAAACTTCTGTGCATCACAGCCGATCACAGCCACGAGCGGCTTTTGTTTTGGACTGATGCGCGCGGCTGTTGTTTCTGAGTGTGTATGCTATTGGTCGCAGATGACCTTTACAGCGTCACCGGGTTTGGAGAAGGCGAGATCCTAAGGGGACCTCAAGCCGAGAATTGGCGAGTGCCTCTAGGGGTATTCCAGGAGGATGGCATCTTCCCACGGGGGATTCTCCTCTCCGTCTAGAGCCTCTAGACCACTCGAACCTGAGGGGGGCGCGGCTGAGTGAGTATGAAAATGTATGGTGCCTTTTCCGAAGTCTACGACGGACGCGTGCGGCCTGCAACAGACGTCGGCCGCACCACTGCCATCATACATTTTCAAGGACCAGCCGCGCCCGTCAGTTTCACGCGATCGATCGCGCGCATCGCAATGCACGGAAGTCTGTCTTCTTTTACCCCGTGGAGCCCTGGAACCTTACTCATCCACAAAAATATAAAACTTTTAAAAGTTATACTTTTAAGTGTTATTTTACTACGGTCTTCTGTAAGGTGAAGGTTGCCAGACGAGCGCTTCAATTCGACTGGATAATCTGCTATGTCCTAACTCTTTCTTTTATAGAAAGCTCTGTGGTATAATACACACTTTAAAGTGGCGCGCTTGCTTGAAAGCAAGCTCTGTGGTATAATAAACACATTAAAGTGGCGCGCTTGTTTGAGATAGTATCCTTGACTATAGAGTAAAGGATACTATCTCAAGCAAGCTCTGTGATATAATACACGCTTTAAAGTGGCGCGCTTGCTTGAGATAGTATGCGCTTGCTATAGAGTAAAGGATACTATCTCAAGCAAGCGCGTCACTTTAAAGTGTGTATTATACCACAGAGCTTTCTATACCATAGAGTAAAGGTTACTATCTCAAGCAAGCGCGCCACTTTAAAGTGTGTATCATACCTTAGAGCTGGTTAAAGTTAAAAAAAATGTTTATGACTTTCATATGAATTAACATGGCAGTTTAAAATTAAATAAGTTGATTCTATCACACTAAGTAGATAATAATGTTCAGTTGATACCGGGGTATTAGCTATAAGACAAAGATTCTATCATTACATTATTATATTTGTCCTTCCTTTCCCAAGGCTTTCTTATTATGTATTATGTAACGGTAAAATATAACAGAAACCTATTAAAATACAGCCAGCTTATACAAATAATAAAATTGAAATGACGTATTACGAGTACGATAAAAGAATAGGGAGATTGGGCCATGACCCACCACGCGGGCCCAGTGCGGATTGGCGGGCGCTAACGACTGCAGATGCAGCCGGGACCAACGGCTTAACGTGCCATCCAAAGCACGGAGGAGCTCAAGATATTATAAATTTTTTTGGTCACCCATCCAATGACCGACCACTGTGAAAGTTGCTTAACTTCAACGATCGCAGCCGAACGCGCTAACCGCCTGCGCCATCGAGCTCCTCAAGCATTTTCTTTTGCGTACCCGATACTGTCTTCCAACACGTATTCCAGTGTAAATATTGCTTCGGTCGCCCGAATTCGAGTAAGCCTTTCATGCACTATAACGGGCTAACGACCAAATGTAGTTGCGGTATAACGTTATAACGGGTTATTCCACTTAACTCCAAAGCCTTTGTTTTTAACCTGTATAGTCAAGATCCTGACGTGACATGACACTGGATATTCTTTTGATTCCTACTTGGGTGCTGTCGACATCAAATTGAATCCACCAATATAGCGTAGACTGTACATAATTTATAACACGACAAATCTTCGAGTAATCTAAAATGAATTAATAGCTTATTCAAATAAAGTCTATTATTAACAAAACTGGGTCATAAGGGTTAGCAAACTAAACAGCTGAATAATCCTATTCCCGCTCGATGCAAGTGGCCGCTTTTTGAGGTTGTTTTTATAAAAATACTAGTGGCCCTCGCTTCGCTTCGGTGTAGAGCTGAAGTGTAGACTACAGTTTTTGTTCTCAGGTTTGTATTATACATAATGACATTCATCTATGATTCTTCTTATACCTGCATGCAAAATCTCAGCCCGATCGGTTTAAAATTGACAAACTTTCATACAAACTTTCATTCCCTATTTTATCCCTTTGGGGGTAGAATTGATCAAAATCCTTTCTTAGCGGATGTCTACGTCATAACATCTACCTGCATGCCAAATTTCAGCCCGATCCATCCAGTGCTTTGGGCTGTGCGTTGATAGATCACTATGTCAGTCAGTCACCTTTGAGTTTTACATATATAGAAGACTAGTGGCCTGCCCTCGCTTCGCTTCGCGTCGGAATTGATCAAAATCCTTTCTTAGCGGATGCCTACGTCATTACATCTTTTTTTTTTTTTGTTGACGATGGAAAATGCATTTACGCACCGTACCGCGCGCTGGCTGGGCGCGCGGCGTGTGTGGGACTCCCCGGCGCGGAACGACGCCGGTCTTACCCACCTAAAACCACCGGTACCCTCCTACGCCCATATGGGGGCGTCTCAGGATCAGCGCACCTTAGTGTGCGCCACTTCACTGGGACGCCCCCGGGTACGTCATAACATCTACCTGCATGCCAAATTTTAGCCCGATCCGTCCAGTGGTTTGGGCTGTGCGTTGATAGATCACTATGTCAGTCAGTCACCTTTGAGTTTTATATATATAGAATAAAGACCAAAATTTGCTTTTCGATTCAGTTGTTAAGCTGTCTGAAATTATGTCACATTGAAAACTTTTTGAATGATCAAGCTCCTTGTTATATGCGGAGGTTAATAAAGATGATGGTCCCGGCTACATTAGCAGTCTTTAGCACCCACCAATCAGCGTTCACCTGATATCATTTGTTTAACAGCAAGGGTCCGTCCTCATTTAGGACATTAGGAACTTGATGATGTATTAGGGCTATGATATATTAAGCGCTGTCACTAGCAATCGGCGAAAACACCTCACGAAGTACCACGGGCTTTTTCGGAGGCGAAGCGATTACGTTACGATTCCGATTAGTGTACGTTGCAGAAGAGAGTTTTGTACAAATAAGTCTGAACGACTCGAGTTGATGACCTTTTCCGAGTTGATATATCTGCAAAGGCCATTATTAAACAGAAAAACGTCAAACACGCTTAATAAATAAAAATCCACAGAACATAGAAAGAGGTTAAAAGAGCCTTGTGGGCGGGGCAGGCGCGCCACAGTTACGTTTGAGCAAATGCTCATAACTTGACCAAAACTTGATTCTGATTGCGTCGTTAGATTGTTTGATATCGCATCGTTTGATTGGCTATTATCTATTAGGTAGTAGTGTAGTGGGGGCGAACCGGCGATATCGGTTCCCGTAAAGACGGTCTCTGATCACCTGTCTAACCTCTTTCAGTGTTCTGTGAAAAATACTTTCCAAAAGTGACGTTAACTAGTGAGGAAAAATTTCCTGTAATAAACCTTCTTTGCTGGTAGCCCTCACTATCGCTTAGGTGACTAAACAGTTTCAGAATATTAGCATATGCGAATTATCGTATCTTCACATTTTGCTATTCATACTGGAAAGCGTTCTTTTATTGGAAGACAAAGCGGCAGATTGAACACTGAAATGAGGCCAGATAGGAAACTATTTATCAAGTACCTATTGTTACTTTAATATTAACTATATTTTGGGTAGTTCATGGTAAAAATTGAAGAATATTTAGTTATGTTTTTATTTAATTTTTAAGCATTTAACTGCTAGATGTTTAAATCTAAAGAAAAGTTTTACTAGAAAAAAATCCACGCGGACCAGGCAGCGGACGGGACTCGAACCCGCACCTTTCGCAATCCGGGCGAACGCACTGACCAATTATGCTACCACGGCCCTGATGGCCGCGTCGAAATTTTCCTAGCCTTAAGCTGCAAGGCAGCGCCATCTCTTCGCATTGTAGGTAACCCACAATGTCAAATGAATATCTTTTCAAGTATTAAACATTTGAAAGAAGAAATAGCAATTATAGTTATGTTTAGTTATGTTATGTGAATATTTAGTTTCCAT